GCGTTCTTGCATTTTTTTTGCAACTTCTTAGCACTTATAATTTTCTTCTTATTGTTACTATTATTCATCAACATCTCCTTAATCCTTTTGCAAAAACCAAAAACCTCCATTGATGAATTAACCTAAAAACTTTTTAGTAAAAAAATAATAGAGGGAAAATACTTGTGAGTATTTTAGTAACTTTTGAGAAAACATGTAAGTTATATATAGTTTTTATTTTCTTAAAATCCTAATACTAATAAAAGTAGGATTAGTTTGTATAATCCGATCCTAACAAGAGTAGGATTTATATATTCCTAATTAAAGTATATTTAAGTCGGTTAATTAAAATGTCTTCCCAAATTGCTTTTGAATGGGTTTAAGTTTATCCTTTTTTATTATTATAAATATTTGTGTACATATAATTAAATTTATAATATTTAAATATATAACAATAATTAGTATTTGTAGATATGTTCATCATAATAAGTACATAAATAATATTAACATATAATTTATTCTTGATAAAATGAAAGCTCCAAAATTAGGAGCCTAAAGCATATGCCTTATTTTTTAAGCATAGAGTCGACCCTGACTATATTCCCATATTCTTACAAAAACTGTTATGCTCCTTGATTTTTGATTTTTCTGTTCTTTCTTCTATACTCGTATTCTTATATCGCTTAGTTGCAAAGATTTTCTTCTTAGCCGCATGTGTCTGAAAGTTTTGCATGTTATAAGACTTAAAAGTGACCTAGCACGATAAAGTATTCTCTAAGAGTAGTATAAAATGAAATCGTGATCTATTTCAAGTGGGATTTAAAAGTAATAATTTATTTAGTATATTAATTTATACCACATTCATAAATAAAATAAATATAAAATTTGTTTCTGGTTAAATTAAACATTGAGCTGGTTTGCCCGAGAGGTTAAGGGGGAAGACTTAAGATCTTCTGCACATAAGTGCGCATGGGTTCGAACCCCATAGCCAGCATTTTATTTTTTCATTTTTTATTTTTGTTTATTTTAATTTTGTTTTTTAATTTCCTCTTTATTCATATTTCTTTCGAATTCGCTCCATGTAACGCCGATTGAATGGGAAAGCATAGTCTATCAAAACTCTTTGTATTTCCATAATTTGAACGTGAATATAATAGAGAAATCTTATCTATTCCATGATAACCCGTCAATGATTTCGAAAGTAATTGATTGATAATTAATCGAAGAACATGGTTATCATATTAACCATTGCTTTAGGGAGGCTGATAAACCTGCCGACAAGCTCGCCACCTTGAGTCATGGCATTGAAGGGTTTCATCTCTTCAACTCTTTTTCGGCCCTTCCTAAGCAAGTTAGAGGTCTCTGCAATATGGATAGATGGGATTTCTCAACCTTTAGAACTAAGTCAATGAGCCCTGCCAACATTATTTACGAGTCCCCCTAAATTGTATGTCGTGTTCAGTTAGTTTTTGAGCTAATCTGGACACCCCCTTTTTTTTGTGATACTTAGTAGAACAGTCCTACAGTGTTATTATCCCTTAATCATGTCAAAGTTTAGGATGCCAAACTCAAAGTTGTACTTTTGCCCATAACAATGATCAAAGTTGATTTTTTTTTTAAAAAAGTCTTTTTAAATAAGATAGAAAGAGACGTGATGCTAGTTGTACGTTGGTTTTTGTATTACTTTCCAATAAACTTTTGTTTACTTTTTTTGTACTTGGTCCTTCTATTCTTTGTAGTTGATAGCTCACAAAATTGTATAGAAGTTTTACACTATTTCCTCTACTTAGTTTAATTGTATTACTCCCTCCGTTCCATATTATTTATCACTTTTTCTATTTGTACTTGCATTAAGAAATGAAGTAATTTTATCCTTATGCCCTTATTTAATGTTTGTTTATGACAACTTTGTAATAAATGATGAATAAGTTAGATTTCAAAAATATAAATGTTGATATGAAAAGTTAAAATAATTAATTTCACTATTTGATAAATGTTTTAATAAATAATATAATAAAAGAGAGAAACACAAATTAAAATACGACTTCGATATTACTTATTAAAAAAAATTGCTAAACATAAATTTTCATACTGATAAAAAAGTTGAAAATATAAATGTTGATATGAAAAGTTAAAAGGTTGTTCTCTCTCAATCTTCTATTATAATATTATCGTGGTAATTATTATAAATAAAATTGGAGTAATAACTGTACAAAGGATTAACACCTTCTTTAATGTAGAAAAAATAAAAGAAACTTTTATTTGCTTTCAACAATAATAAATTTAATATACATTAATCATATATTCACATTTATTATGGTAAAAAGAAAAAAGAAAAAATATTACTCTTATTATCCTTATTTACACTCCATTAATGTTGTTAAGAAAGAAATTAATTTATATATATGATATTTTTAAACACTTTTAACAAAAATTTGTTATTGAGAAAATTAAAATTATGAAATTTTAAAGTTTTTCTCAAAAAAAAAGAGTTAAGGAAATTATTATTTTTAGTTATATATATAATCTTAATTTTACCATACATATAAATTTGATCATTTTTTTATAAATATTTTTATAATGCGCCTATTTATAGGACAACAATATGAAATATCAAATGATATTATGAATATGATTATTAATATAATTTAGGAATTGTGATCATCAAAAGTCATTAAAGTACAAAACATAAAGTTATTTGAATTTTTATATTAAAAATTATGAATCAATGAAGGAGTAGTAATTGATACATTCATTTTTGTACAAAAATAAGAAATAAATAAACAGAAAATTTGTCAAAAAAAAATGAGAAAATCAAAAGATAAATAAGATTATTGGCCAAAGAGATGTGCTACACCTACTTTTTCTTTTATCTAGATAATTCTTATGTTGGTAAAGAAAATAGATTGAGAGAGAACAACTTTACTAAATCATTTTTATCCTAAACAAATACTTTTGTATTTCAATTTTTGACCAAACAGATTGTAATAGTGATCTTTGAAAATCTCTTGAGAACTTCTAATATTAATTATAAAAAAACTAAAAAAGACTACAAAGTTCCATATCAATAAACATCTTTTTATAAATTATACAATCTCGATTTGGTACCGCTCCGCGGTCCGCACCGAAACAGTGCTTTACCCCTAGATGTCCAATCAACTGTTGCGCCTCAATGCATTTCGGGGAGAACTAGCTAGCTCTGGGTTCGAGTGACATTTCACCCCTAACCACAACTCATCCGCTGATTCTTCAACATCAGTCGGTTCAGACATTATAAAAATTATGAATTAACTTTACATTCTCATGTTCTATCATAATAGTTATTAAAAGTTGATTTACATGAGTACAAAATTATATATACATGCTTTATTGAGTAGCATACATGTATGTTGACTTTCTTTTCAGCTTCTATTTTAAAAAATATCCTGACATAAAAACAAAAAAAGTTAATCATACAACAACAACAATAACGATAAAATATAAAAATGAAGTTAACTAATCAAATAAAAACTTTAAAGAATATTTAATTATGAGTTAAAGATAAAGGAAGGATGTTGTTATCAACATTACATAATGCTCCAAAAACTATAAAAAGAAGAAAAAAAAAATCTCTATAAACTACAAAGAGAAAAAATCAAATAGTTTTTTTCTAAAAAAAATGTGATTCATATTATCATGAATTCAAAAATAATAATATTGAATATAATTGCAACAGAGAAAAAGTGATAACCATATTGGGCACATCAAATAGTTTACCTTGTAAAATCGAACTGCACAGAGATATCTAACAATCTTCATCCTGCAAAATCAGATCAAACAAGACAAAATTAACCAATAAAAGAGATAAAAGATGAAGAATAAGAAAAAATGTAAAAAATATGAAAGGTTATAAGTGTGATTTTGAGATGTCATAAATTTGTATATTAAATTATTTGAGGGTTATGAATATGAAAGGTTAGGAGTTATGAAATTTATTAATATTTATTAAGAGTAAAATTTATGTAATTGAAGAGGTAAGAAAATAAAATAATTGAAAGAAATAAGAGAAAAATGCCAAAAAAATCACAAAAAAAAGATAAATAAGAATGAATCCCTTAGAGAGCGTCACGTCACTGTTTTCATATTCAGCTTTATTATAATATATAGATTTGGATCACTATTTAAATTTTAGAGTTTATTTTTGGAGCCAAATTTTTTCATCAATTGATCCAAAAAATTTTAAAAATCAAGTTTTTCCCACCTCAATTTTCCCAAATATTTTATGTAAAATGTTTTTTATATTTTTATATATAAATTCTCAAAGCAAACATGACAACATCACAAAATATTCAAATTTCATTACTTCAAATTGATCTAAATTTTCCTTTGAACTTTATGATGTTGTTGATAATGAAATTAAATGACAAATGAATTTTAGTTCTAGTTCAACAAATCATTTGTTTTTTTTATTTAAACACCGAGGCGCATAATGAAGAAGATTCGAATACAAATATTGGTTTGTTGTTTTGTTTAAGATTTTGGTTCGTATTTTAATTGTTTTATTTATATTTTTATATTTAATTCATTTTAACAGTACCATTTGAAGGGCTGCAAACTGCAACATAAGAAGATATATTATTGGAAGAGTCACATACAAATATTGGTTTGTTGATATTGTTTTTCAAAATCAGATTTTATAGAATAAGTAGTGAATAAAGAAAGTAGTTAATTAATGAATGAAGTACTCTCTCAATGAAAATAATTACTTGTAGATTTCCTAGGTTAGTCAAAGTAAATACATTTTCAAGATTAATTAATTAATCTATCAAAGATATAATGGGCAAAATATGATAATTTATGCATAAATTTTATAAAATGATATATATTGTGGTTCCAACTATTCTTAAAAATGAATGACATACAATATGGAAGGAGTATTAACTATAGTTATTTTTGTTGCAAGTCCTTTCTAATAAATGCAATAAATAGTTTCTCCAGAAAGAGCACATCTTATGTATATAGCAAAGAGAAGATTGAGATTGGAGAAAAAGCAAAACCATCAAAATATTTAATTAGAACATAGTACAAACTTGCATATCAAAGTTTTACAGTCACCAAGCCTAAAAAAAGAACTCTCTTCTTTTTCAGAATTCAAAATACTAATAAAACCTCACAAAACAAAAATTGTTTCGAGTCTGCTTGTTATTTCACGAAGGTCATATACTATATCCTAAAATGACCAATCTAAGAGGAATTTATTTTGGCAGAACAAGAACTCAACAATCTCAACACTTTAACTGCTGAAATTTAGTAGGGCTCAACAGGCTTGCGGAAACTTGCTCCTGCATAAACAGCCTCTGATCCGAGTTCCTCTTCAATCCTCAAGAGCTGCATAGAATGAACGAAAAATCAGAAAAGTGTGGTGGGAATGCAAGTACTTGAGAAAGAGAACAACATTTTTTTCGTTACAAAGATAAAGAGTTCAACGGCTGTATTTTTGAAGGATAAATTACCTGGTTGTACTTGGCGAGACGCTCTGACCTGCAAGGAGCTCCGGTCTTGATTTGTCCCTGAATATTTCCGGGAGAATACTTGTTAGCATGACTAAAATCTGTAGATTATCATAATCTAGAATGCTTAGTAACAAAATTTACCGTTGACAAACCGACAGCAAGATCAGCAATGAAGGTGTCTTCTGTTTCTCCACTGCACCAATTAGTTTTATGAGATAATCAGAACATGACTACTTGAAATTTATTATATTTTCTGTGAAGTGATATCGTGGAGGATCATTTGTTCTTTACCTGCGGTGACTGGTCATTACACCCCAACCTGCCTTCTTAGACATCTTCACAGCTTCAATACTCTCGGTCACACTGCCGATTTGGTTAACCTGACACATATCGAGAGAGAAATGATTTAATAACATCTCAAAGAGGAAACTCTCATTATCATGGCAGAAATATACAACCTATAAGCTGGATAGGATTATACCTTGAGAAGAAGAGCATTGCAAGTTTTCTCTGCAATTGCCTTGGCGACCCTCTGCACACCATTATAAATAAATATACATGGTAAATATTAAAACCTAGAGAAATTGACGTCTGCCTTTTCTTTTCAATGGCAACAGCAACTCTGATATGCAAGCAATATTGTTAAAGCTTCAATCTTACCTTAGGGTTGGTGACAAGGAGGTCATCTCCGACAATCTGTACTTGCTCCCCAATCTCAGTGGTGAGCTTAGCATAGGTCTCCCAGTCATCTTGGTCAAATGGATCTTCAATTGAAACAATGGGGTACTCTGACACAAATGACTTGTACAAATCCTTGAGCTGGTCACCTGATATCTTTTGTGAGCCGTCATTGCTCTGCAAAGAAGAATAAATATGAGCAAAACTGAATAACGTATGAACATTTTGACTACGAGACTACCTCGGAAAAAGCATGTGTGAAAGAAGCAATAGTCAGTACTTGCCTCTTCTTTGAAGTTCAGGTCATAAGATTTGTCCTTTCCGTAAAATTCAGATGCTGCAACATCCATTCCAATGACCACCTAAACAGAAAATCATCTCAGCCACCAGATCATCTAACAACAGCTATGAAAACAAAGAATTGTGCGACTCAAAAAGTAATTGAGATACTCACCTTTCCGGTGTAACCTGCTTTCTCAATGGCTGTCTTGAGCAATTCAAGACCTTCCTTGTTCTCCTGAATTTTCGAAACCATAGTCATGTCAGTGCACTGGGTAACATTCAACAGGATGTAATACAGCAGCATAAGAATATACGTCACCTGGATATTAGGAGCAAAACCACCCTCGTCACCGACATTTGTGGCATCCTGGCCATATTTCTTCTTAATCACAGACTGCAATTCAAGTATAACGATTATCAGACAAAACAAGATAAAGAGGACAAAGAACAATATGAACAAATTCAAATTAGATTGCGAGCCTGAATGGATCCAAAGATACCAATCGATCCCTTAAATTCAAAAGCATATATACTAGCTTGGTCACCTAAAACAGTATTTAGAGGTAATAAAAGCTGTCGAACCTTCAAATGGTGATAGACTTCACAGCCCATCTTCATGGCCTCCTTGAAATTAGCAGCTCCAACAGGAAGGATCATAAATTCCTGCAAAATAACTACTAATGAGAATCGTTCTAGTAAAGAGCACACAGATGCATAGTTGACGCAAACTAATGGCATACCTGCATTGCGAGTTTGTTTCCAGCATGAGATCCACCATTAATCACATTGAAGGCAGGAACTGGTAATACCAACTTCTTGTTACCAGCCAAATCAGCAATGTGCTGCAAAGAGAAGAGGCAATTTATATAAGTAACCACATGATCGCAGATTAATCCAATAGCAAGTAGAAACTTAATTTGTCCTAGTAGCCTTGTGGTAATGAAGAGAATCAAATGGTGGAATTTTTTTTATCTCCTATTGTTCTTTTGCATGGGGGTGGGAGGAATGGGATTCATATATGGGAACAGTAAACATGGGGAAGATTATAGGTTCATGCGGTTTCTGCCTTGCCAATTGCAATAGTTCAATAGTGATGCAAGGCTTAGGTCGTTTGGTGTGAAGGATAATACCAAATAGTCCTGGGATTAAATTATAGTACCACTTAATTTGTTGTTTGGTTGGCAAGTCCGGGATAACTTATCCCGGGATTAATAATTAGTACCGGGATAAGTTATCCCTCCCCTTGGGTGGTATAGTAATCCCGGGATAACTTATCCCGGGGTAAAATAAGTAAATGACAAAAATGTCTTTTTCAACCCTTTTGTTACATCACTTTTACATTCATGAAGGGCATTTTTGTAAACAAATAAATTGTTCTTAAAATTTATTATCTTGAATACAACAAATCAAACACTCAATAAAAAATAATCTCATCATAACTTGAATTCAAACCAAACGACCCCTTAGGGTGTAGATAAATCTAAAGAATGTGCATGGACTCCATGAAAACCAATTTAATGTTTGCCACAATCACAGAAATGCATCCCTCTCTTGACTGCTGTTTAAAGAATCAAGATAAATCATCCTACGAAATGACTAAGTGAAAATGAGACATCATTCTTCACAAGCACAAAATATTAATTGGGCCCGTAAACATTTTTTCACCAAATATACAAAAGACAACTACTCGGGAAAGTTAGACACTCTAACAAGAAGTGATTCTCCAGTATACCTTGTACAATGGAACATTCCTGACAGCAGCGCCAGCTTTACACACAGCAAGTGACACAGCAAGGATGGCATTTGCACCAAGCTGAAGAAAAGCCAATACAGTTAAATTCATGAAAGGTGAACTTCTCTTAATAGAAGAATTAACCTTATACTTGGCATAAATAGTAACACCTTTTCTTTGCACCAACCCCACTCATTTTGAGTTCCATCTAACTCATGAACCATGAAGTTATCAAGACCAGTCTGATCGGTTGGGTCCTGGAAAATAGTAATACTTGTATGTCAGAAATGAACAATAAAAGCAACTTAACAAAGAAATAACCTATTAAGAAAAAATATATTCACGGGAAAAAACAACAAACCTTGCCGATGAGAGCAGGGCCAATAATTGAGTTGACATTGTTAACAGCCTACAAGGGAAGAACATGCATAAAAAATATTAATCAACAATGATCAGTATAATCATCAAACTAAAGCTTTGCAGTGAAATGCCAACCTTTGAAACACCCTTTCCGAGGTAGTCAGATCCTCCATCCCTCAATTCAAGGGCTTCATAAATTCCTATTATACAACAAGTCAAGAGGATGAATTATCTTTCAATTCAAAGGGTAATAACAAAAGGACACATTTGCCAAGAACATTAACAGCGTTCAAGACAGAAACAGAAAGTAGCAAAGATTCACATTTCCACCCAAACTGATATATGCAAAATCCGTGGATCAGATGAGCTACAAGAAAATCAACAGTCCATATAATAGATTCTACAACAAGACAGAGTAGTCTCTATATAATACTAACCATTTCAATTTGTTTCTCACTTTCTTTTTTTAGTCCGTACAAAAAAATGTCTCTTCCCTTTTTTTGCTAACTCTTTAATTTCAACTTTCCACAACATGTTTAAGACCACAAGATTAAATGACATTTCGCTACATTCTACAAATCTTTAGTTTAAGACCACAAGGTTCAAAAGTCTTCAAACTCTACGGCCAGTCAAAACCATGCAAACAAATTAAAAACACAGGGAGTACTTCTGTTTTAGAATAGTAACATGCTGATACTAAAAATGCATTTTTTTTTTGTGAAGAACAAGTATCTATAGCTGAACATAAACTCATCAAAAGGGTGAAGTTTATTCAATACACACTTGAAAGAAAGTTACTATGTTTTCCAAACAAACAAACAAGAAACTCTGAGTTCAATTACACAAGTAAAATAACGAACTAATTACGCATGTACACGCACAATTTTCAACACATTCTAATCAATCAATGTTTAAAAAAGTCACTATATACAAGAACACAGCTAGATCATTACCGGTGGATGCACCACTTGGAACAGCAGCTCTAGCAAATACACCATTTGAGACATGTACATCAACCTGCACATATACACAACAACCAAATCAATACATCTGAGGAAAAACATCTCTACTATTGCAACAGCTAGCATGTCTGAACCCATAAAAATTAAATCTTGAATCGGCCTCGGTCTTCAAACTGATATAACAAAACTTATCAGCATCAACAACCAATCCATTCTTAAAAAATAAGATCTTTTCAAAAATCCAAACAAATCCCACAAAACTTATAGCAGCAACAAACAGATACAACACAACTAATCTGCAACCTCCATTCAAAAGTCCAAACAAAACCCATAACAGCAACATACAATTTAAGCAGAATCAGCAAAAGGGTATACATAAAAAAACTCAAAAAGATTGAATCTTGAAACAGATAAAACACAACTAATCTGCATCAACAACCAATCTAACAAAACCAAACACTCTCAAAACAAACTCCATTCAGAAATCCAAACAAAACCCATTACAACAACAAATTATTTAAGCAAAATCAGCAAATGGGTAAACATAAAAAACTCAAAAAGTTCGAATCTTGAAACAGATCGAAAAATCTAGAAAATAACATAAAATACATAAAAAAAATTCTGAAAAAAAGAGAGATCTGAAGGAAAACAAACCTCAACGGTGGGGTTACCACGGCTGTCAAAGATCTGACGAGCTTTAATGGATTTGATAGTTGCCATTGGATCTATGAAGAGAGAAATAGTAGAAAAGAGTGAAGAGAAAAAGTTTGGTTTTTTTTTTTCAATGAACAAATGGGATGAGAAGTGGCAGCACGTATATGTAGAGAAAATTGGGTTAATTACAACCGTTGATTTCGTTATGATGTTGATTAGTGTTTTCATATTTTTTTGAAGTATTTATATTACTTTTTTGGTCCTTTAGTTAGGTATAATAAAAAAATACGTCTGGTAACTTGACTTCAATTGATATTTATGTCCTTCAACTTAGTGTATGCATAAGTCAACTTTTAAGTTTATATAAATTTGAACAAATAAATACAAATATCTTGTGTGACATAATACAAATTGGACATCATGTAGGACACAAACTGTCACATAAGATGTTACTTAAAACATATATATCTATTTGTTCAATTTATTTAAATTTGATATATGATTCAATACAAGTTATTGATATACGCAGGAAATATGGTATATTCCATTTTATTAACCTCAAATATGAAGTACACTCAAGTTTAATATAATATATAAGTAATTAAATGGTAAAACGATTAATGACTCTAAATATTATGAATACGCATAATAAGTAAAAGAAACTAATAAAGTGCATGTTTATATAAGTAATTAAAGATTAAATATGATTAAATCAAATTTTGTATGAACTAAAATTAGAATTAATGGTGAAATGAGGGACCAAAAATGTTGTTTAATTCCTTTTTAGTTAAGTGGGCTAATTGTATATTCCAAATCTATGTGCTTTAGAAAACTCCCCTCGAGTGTGTCGAAATGTTGTTATGTACTTCTAGATCTAGGGGTGGATTTCCAATGAAGAAAAAATTGTTAGGTAGTTTTTGTCTTTTCAAATATATAATAAAATAATTCAAAATTTAATACTTAGTTAAATTAATAATTAAATTTTTAGTATTTTTATTTAGGAAAGATACAATATAATGTTAGTGATAGTTTGGAGAAATTGTATAGTACAATTAATGAATAACTATAAATTAGATATAAATTGATATTGAGATATTGCCTTGTGAGTTGTGCATATAATTAATTAATTAAAACTTGATTAACAAGCTAAGTGAAATAAATACTTGTTCATTGTTTTTGTGTGAAGCTAATTATTACGAGTAACATTCATAATGCTATAAGTTTGAATTAAATTTAAATTCAATCGAATATTATTCTTTCTATTTATTTTTATTTATTCAGTACTAACTTAACATATGTCGTAAATAAATAAAAATAGCCAGAGAAATAATTTGATTTCTTGTGCAACAAGAAGAGAACACTTGGAAGTTCAAAATCACGAGAATATTCGTCTAAATTGTGCTATTTGTGTACCATTTGTCTTACTTCGTGGGGCGTGCTCACGAGGAAAATGTAAGGGGCTGCTCATTTACATCTTGAATTAAGACTTACAAAAAGAAAATAATAATCGCATACTCAAATTTGTTACGAATTCAGTTATAATAATAACTCATTAAACACAAATTGTTCTTTTTTTTTCAATTTTATCACTTAAATTAAAATTCAAACATTTCCGAAGGAGATAGTAACAAAAATTAGTTGGAGTTAATAAACAATGTACATTTTTTATAAAATATAAATGTTTGGGGTAATTTTTGAATTTTTCAAATTTCTCAAATATTAGAACTTGACCCAAATACTAGTTTTTTCTAGTATTTGGGAACTTGGGATACTTGACAAATATATTTACCAAGTTATATGACCAAACACCACTTCCCAAATTTTTTCCAAGTATTCTTAGCGCCAAACGGGTCCTAAGAGTTGAATAGATTAATTATGTTATGACTTATGATGCGTTATTTAACCTATTTTAACCTTCTTTTTTGGGTGTGTCATTTATTAATGGGAAAATTGTATATAATAGCAAACTATTAATTCAAATTAAATGCTATAAATATAGTTTGATTTAATTGTACCCCATAGCAAACTGTTGCTATTTCACCTCTCTCCTGGTGAATCTCGCTCGCCACTCTCGTTCTCTCCCTCACCTCTCTCATTTTTTATACAAACGCAAGTGTATAAAGTGTGTTTGTGTTTGTATAAAGCGAGAGAAAATTGTATATACACATGCAAATACATATATCTTCGTCCTATACACTTATAATTATACA